TGACAATCCAATAGTCCTGACAATATCAGTAAAGGTCTCTTTACTCCCTTAAACCAAGGAGGGCATTGACATTAAATCACATCTTACCTAACTGACAATCCAATAGTTCTGACAATATCAGTAAAAGTCTCTTTACTCCCTTAAAAATGAATGCTTTGATTTTCTTTGAAAATTAGGAAAAAATAATTCTGCAGAAAAGAATTAAGTTCTGGCCACAAGGTATGGGTTCTAATCCCTATATCTTTGCAATCCAACGTCGTAGAGCTTAGATATTTCAAATTATGATTCCTAAATTATCAGTTAATGTAAGTTTGAAATATCAAAGGTGTACACCATCAATTGCAAAGATACAGGGATGTGAAGATATGAGTTTGTGGCAAAGACTCAATTTCTTTATATTTTTTCTAGGTTGGAATACTGAAAAAACTAGCATGGGCTTATTTGTTCAAAACATTATTTTCATTAAAAGTACTATAAGTATAAATCAAGTGACCCTCCATGCAAATATGACAATGCCCAATTCACAACGATACCCTTTAAACCTTTATTTAACCAATAATGGGAAAGATATATTTTTGTTGTTTTAGGTTAACATGTGTTTTATGTTTCCTATTTGTTTTCCTGCAGTAGAAATGCGCAATTCATTTTAGTAGATAAACTACGATTGAAAATAATTAGTTTTCAACATTTTAAAAAAATTGATAAATAAGACAAAGCTGTTTTGGGTACTGTTGTAAATCCAGCATTGCCATCTTTGAGTGGAGGATCACCTGAAATGTTGCAAACCAAAAACCCAGCTTTTTATAAAGAATGTCATTTACTCTTAGAGGAATTAGAACCAATGGAAATTTAAACTGACTCTGACCAAATCAGGCATTGCCATCTTTGCATAAAGGGTTCCTTGAAATTACGCTTACAGTCCTTTTATCCAAAGGTTCTTTTTAAATTAAATAAAATTAAAATTAATTCTTCTTCTAGTTAAGTTGGAGTGAGAATTAAAATTTACATGAATAAAACAGGATTTTCTGTTTAGTTAATAAATTAAAAATGAACCAGTTTTTTATAGTTTGTTTAACATCTCCATGTTAACTTCCCACTCTTCAATGTAATTTTGCCCAGCTCTAATTAAATCCCTAATCACCTTTAAAGTTCCAAATAAAGGATTTAATCCCAGAATAGGATTTTTATCACTGCTAACCCCAGGACCCTGGTTCACCTAATAGTTTATTATTTATATTGATATTGTAGTTTTATGTTTATATTAAATGAACCTTTGTGTATAGAGTGGCATATCTGATTCATAATGTTGCCCTATAAACCGTTATCTGAGTAATAATGAGGAAAATATTGTAGTTTTTCTGAAACAGTTTGGAATTTCAGTAATTTTCTTAACATTTCTCTAAACAATAAATGTGGCATAAAATCATTTTTATGAAAAACCCATCGAGATATTAGTAATAGAGGGGGCATCTGGAATTTTAGACTTCTTGTTGTACAGCCACTGTACACAATGACCCGATCAGAAATTCTACCTGGGGGGATCATAATTCGTAGATCAGTTTTGAAAGTTATTGTTTGAAAGTGAAGACTTTATGCTTTGATTTTCTTTGAAAATTAGGAAAAAATAATTCTGCAGACCTTAGATATTTCAAACTAGGATTCCTAAATTATCAGTTAATGTAAGTTTGAAATATCAAAGGTTTGCACCATCAATTGCAAAGATACAGGGATGTGAAGATATGAGTTTGTGGCAAAGACTCAATTTCTTTATATTTTTTCTAGGTTGGAATACTGAAAAAAACAATTATGGGCTTATTTGTTCAAAACATTATTTTCATTAAAAGTACTATAAGTATAAATCAAGTGAACCTCCATGCAAATATGGCAATGCCCAATTCACAACGATACCCTTGAAACCTTTATTTAACCAATAATGGGAAAGATATATTGTTGTTATTCTAGGGTAACATGTGTTTTATCTTTCCTATTTGTTTTCCTGCAGTAGAAATGCGCAAGTCATTTAAGTTGATAAACTACAATTACAAATAAGTTTTCAAAATTTAAAAAAATTGATATATAAGACAAAGATGTTTGGGGTACTGTTGTAAATCCAGCATTGTCATCTTTGCGTGGAGGATCACCTGAAATGTTGCTTACAAAAAAACCCAGCTTTTTATCAAGGAATGTCATTTACTCTTAGAGGAATTAGAACCAATGGAAATTTAAACTGACTCTGACCAAATCAGGCATTGCCATCTTTGCATGAAGGGTCCCTTGAAATTACGCTTACATTATTATTAAATTAAATAAAATTAAAATTAATTCTTTTTCTAGTTAAGTTGGAGTGAGAATTAGAATTTACATAAATAAAACAGGATTTTCTGTTTAGTTAATAAATTAAAAATGAACCAGTTTTATAGTTTGTTTAACATCTCCATGTTAACTTCTCACTCTTCAATCTAATTTTGACCAGCTCTAATTAAATCCCTAATCACCTTTAAAGTTCCAAATAAAGGATTTAATCCTAGAACAGGATTTTTATCACTGCTAACCCCAGGACCCTGGTTCACCTATTAGTATATTGTTTATATTGATATTGTAGTTTTATGTTTATGTTAAATGAACCTTTGTGTATAGTGTGGCATATCTGATTCATAATGTTGCCCTTTAAACCGTTATCTGAGGAACAATGAGGAAAATATTGTAGTTTTTCTGAAACAGTTTGGAATTTCAGTAATTTTGTTTAAATGGCTCTAAACTATAAATGTGCATAAAGTTATTTTTATGAAAAACTCCAATTACAAATAATCAAGGTTTAGCTATCCAAATAAGGATATCTTGTGTATCCTTGTTCAGACAAATGTATTAAGGGTACCGTTGTAAATCATAAATGCCACTTAAAATATACGTCTACAGTTCCAACAATCTAAAGCTCTGTTTTTAAGACAATAAATGAATAGAATCTTATTTACCTCTAAACTTGCAATTTAAGGATTTAATCCAAGAATAAGATTTGATCCTGCACTGCTCACTGCAGGACCACCTAGTAGGAGAATATTTTTATTTTATAATACATTATTATTCATATCTTTTTTAATAAGAAGAGAAGGGGAGAGGGAATTTTTAAAAGTTTTTTTTCAAGGATGAAGCCAGTGAATATATTTTTTATAAATTCAGGGTCACTTGAAATTATGTCTGTAGTTACTTTATAATTAATATTATGAATATATGTTTATAAATGCAGGGTCACTTGAAATTATGTCTGTATAGTTCCTTTATGGGTAATATTGTGAATACATGTTTATAAATGGAGGGTCACTTGAAATTATGTCTGTAGTTACTTTATGGGTAATATTGTGAATACATGTTTATAAATGGAGGGTTACTTGAAATTATGTCTGTAGTTACTTTATGGGTAATATTGTGAATATATGTTTATAAATGGAGGGTCACTTGAAATTATGTCTGTAGATACTTTATGAATAATATTGTGAATACATGTTTATAAACGGAGGGTCACTTGAAGTTATGTCTGTAGTCCTTTTATGTAGAAATATTGACAAGCTCAAAAGCATATATTAATAGAAAGGGGCAAGGGGGGGGGGGGGGCGGCTGTTGGATGTTGGATGTCAAAAGAAAAAACCCTCACCTCTCACTCTCTAAGCTGATGCAAACAGACCAGATAAATAGTGGTATTTACAGCAAAATTAAATCAGTGTACATTTTCTATATATGCATGAATCTAAGGTCTGCATTAAACTGCAAAGTGCTAACAGTAAAAAAAGATAAGGTTTAAAGGGACAGACAGGCTATTTAAGTTAGTCGAACTGAGTATGCAGTGTTTTGGAAATATTCTTTAGGATTCATTTGAGACATATAAAACTTTTTAAAGATTTGTAAATCCTGAGTTTGAGCGTAAATTCGACTTTCAAAACTTCTACTTTGGGGTGGATACGTTTTCAGAATTAGTTTTTTTTTTATTTTTAAAAAACGACGACATAAAATGTAAAAAAGTACAATAAACTACAGATGTCATGTATAGTAACAGGTTAAAAAAAAGGAGCAACTACGTTTCAATTTACCCTCATTTCTTAAAAGTTTGTTTTTATGAATCCTGAATTTGAAACTACATATATGAAGACGACAATTTCCAAACATTGTAAACTAGCACGGACTAGAGATGTCAACGATAGTGTAACGCAACGTAAAATGTACGTTTTTGTACGTTACGTTACAACAATGTGTAAAGTTTGGATACATTCTATATAAGGTGAACGTTAAACGTTAACGTTATAGGAGCTCATACCTAACGTTAACGTTAAACGTTAANTTTTTCTGGCTTAAAAAATTTAAAAATCTTATACTAGGACTGAGCCAACTATTGCAATCATCATGGGTCAGAAACCCCTGAGGCCTGCAACACCTGTAATTGATTTCATAATGTACACAAGATACAATTAAACTTAAATAATTATGGTTTCACTTTTAATTTTCAGATAAAGAATGGCCGGATGAACAGTAACACTGAATTCAGCATTGCAAACTAATCTATCCTTAATTAGGTGAAGCCGGAAACAGGTACAATTTTAGTCGAAATGTAAGGGATATTTCTTTTAAAGAGTGCCATCAAAGATTTACAACGGTACCCTCTTTTCATAGATTTAACATATCATCAGCAGGAAAATATATACGCTTCTGATAAAGTGTGTTTATTTAAACACCTGTTTAAGCGTTTTAGCCTACCGTTAACATCAATGAAATGAAGATAGAAATTTTAAAACAATTAAAATATAAAATGATTTTTATTCTTCATTTTGTCTTTTGAAAAGAGACTGATTTTATATTCAAATATTTTAATTTAATCTAAATAAACGAAGATCTAAAATTGTTTATTGCACTCTATAATTGATGGTTACATACATGTTCTATGTGTTTCTTTTAGGATGATAAGCCCCCCTTTTATGTTTTAAGGCCCACTCTCCTTTAACTTTCTGAACCAGTCAGCTTTTTAGCAAAAAGTCCTAGATCCATTTTTTACAGAATTGAATCTGCATCCAATTGGACTGGACAACTTTACCCGTAATCCTTTCAAATCTTTGCCCAATCCTTGTGGACCAATTTCAAGAAATATTGATTAGTTCTAAGAATGTTTAAAAATTTAAATTTATTTTAGGATTGTATTTTTCAACATCTCATGATGATCTCTCTACTATGTACACCAGATGTACAGTGTGCAGTGTACGAACACACAGTGAACTGCACTGAAATTGCTCCATGAAACATCGGACAGATGCAAAAATTACATTCTCTTGGGAGTGCCTTTGATCATGTATNAGTGTACTGCACTGACATTGCTCCATGAAACATTAGACAGATGCAAAAATTACATTCTCTTGGGAGTGCCTTTGATCATGTATGAAAATTACAGCTGATAACAGATTTCATGTCTTCTTTTTACTCACCCTGTAATTGTAATTCTTAACAAGTAATTGATTACTTGCCTAAACCTACATTTTGCAACCTGATTCATAAAGGCACACTGCAAATTAAGATGTGCACAATCTCACACAAAAGTCGAGCAGTATTTTGCCAATTACTCAATTTAAACTAAAGAAACGAGTATAAAACTTTGATGACTAAGTTTCAGTGTTGTCTTTATTTCAATTATATTTATTTCAATCATATGCATTCGACTAGAAGTTGTCAACATTTGAAATATCAAAGTTTAACACCACACAAAATTTCAGACATTTATAAAAACTATGAATTTTCAAATTTTAATTTCTGTTTTATTATTTTTATCCCCAAATTTGAAGAATTTGTAACTAAAAGTAACAAATTGAGAGCGGCAAAATCGTAATTTATTTTTATGTGCTGAAACTGTTAATTTGCAAAAGCAAGTGTTGCGTAAAAATTAATGTTTTGCTAAGTATTTCCGGTTTGCAAAATTTACGCAAAAAATTGCGCAAAAACGCGAAAATTTACTGCACTTCATGCGCAAAAGATGCGTAAAAGATCGCAAAAAAAATATTTGCGCGAAATTTGCCCTAATTATGCGCAAAAAATATTGTCATTTTGTGGAAACCCAAATCAATAATCAAATACTCGAAACAATTTTTTTTAGTATAACAAAATTTCCTATGACTAAGAACATTTTAAATATAATCTTGTTTACTTTCAATTGTTTTATACAGAGCTGGGCTCATAAAACTGTGGAATAGAAAGACGACATTTGAACAATATCGAGTGTATTAATCACATGTTTTTAAACAAGCAAATAGTTTTACCAGGTGTTTCAAAATCTGTGTGAGGTGCAGAATTAAGCTGTATTTCAGATTTATTGGACTATTCAAAATCATAACTTGTGTCGTAAAGTCGTTTTCCTATTCCACAGTTTTATGTGTATCAATGTACAATTCAAAACTGTTGATATTTGAAATTTTTTTTTAATGTTACACAATTGTCTGGTGTACCCATAGGGCAGTTCCTGACAGGTTAATATAGTGTTCTGTCAGCATACTGTACTCAATACTCGAGTCATGTGATAGATTATGGTCGGCTGTACACTGTACAGTCCCGAATTGTACCTTTTTAGTAATGACAAAAAAAAATAGAAACATAAGATAGATGAGATAAATTTGTAAAACTCGTTTTTATTACGATAAATGAAACCCATAAAACTGTGGAATAGAAAGACTACTTTTTGACACAATTCATAATTTTTATTGTCCAATGTACATGAAACACAGCAATTGTTCAAGAAACTAGTAAAACTATTTGCTTTAAAACAACATCAAATACACATAATATTATGTTAATGTCGTCTTCCTATTACTTCAGAAAATTTTAATGACTTTACCATGGAGATTTTACAGACTTTACCATTTTGGTGACATAAAAATATAGTAATGTAAGAATAATTCTCTTTATACCTGACCCATAGTCCCCTTTGATAATACATCTTGGGTTATCTTGAAAGAGGAACTGAGCTTGATCCTTGTTCCAGAACAAAATGCTTTCCTGGGAACCAACTGGTTTTCCCTTCAAGGAAGAGAATGGAACTGTGACACTTGAAGACCCTGGATCATTTGACACCCCAATACCTAAATCTTGAGCATCGGGTCCGATAAGTTTCTCTTTTGTTGCCTTCATAGGGTCTGAGGGAGTCAGGGAGAGAGAACCTGCAGATTTAGAACAGTGGGCAGATGCCATTAAAAGTTTCACCAGTTTAAGATATGATTCATCAATAGGGAACTTTTGATGTTGCCTAAAACCCAAAAGCTCTTCAAGGCTTCCAGTTGTAGTTATCTCTTGCTTTGTGATAACCCTCCCACTGGGATTGTTGATTAAAAATGTTTCAGCTCCCTTTACCTAAACACATCATTATGATAACTTAAATATATATAAAGTAGAAATCTATGTTCAAGTCTCTGTTTGATTGTTTGGATTAACTCTTTAACCTATTTGTCTCAAATTTGGATTGGAAAGCTCTGTAGAACTATGGGAAAGATCTTAGTCTGGTTTAAATCTTCCAAGTTGAGTGGGGAGACTTTTATTGGGAATACTCCAGGCAAAGCTGGGTTACCAAGCTACTAAATATATTTATATTTTGACTTATGTATGAGTTTGTCAAGATATGATTAAAAATACATACATAAGATCTATATCCGTAAGTGCCAACCATCAATATATCATAATCCTAGTAACTAATACCTTCTCCTGATTATCAGCATTAGGAAAAGCCCCAATAGGTATAAACTCCCAGTCCTTGTCATCTATTCCAGCAGCAGCTAGAACTTTTTTAATGAACTCCTCGCCTCTCTTCAGCTGATCAACCCAACCTGGGGCTCTCTCATAAGCAGCCTTGGCTTCTATGTGAACAATTTTCCTAAAATCCCCGAATACAATAAAAAAATCAAATTCTTGATTTTTTTCAGCTTGACCTGTGAATCTCTGGAACATATTGACATTATATTTATGGAAGACCGCTGTTCTTGTTGATTCTGGAATCCCTTCTAAGTACTTCCAGACTTTGTACTCAGCTTCGGCACCAACATAATGAGTCTTAAAAGTTTTAAACTCTTTCTTTTCTTCTTCATTCATAGTTTTGGTCTTCTTTTCCCACTCATCTGTACTCATTCCAACTGGAGATTGTTTTTCAAGACCATAATCTGTCTTTTCTTCCGGGAACCTGACACTTACTCGTCTAAGATCTGGAAGATATTGCTTAGCAAACCAGTCTGCAGCTTCAGCAGGTGTCCACTCTCCTTTCTCTCCCCCTCCTAGCAGGTATGTATTCTTGCCTTCTTCTTCTTCCATGTTTTCCATCTTGATTTTTCCTAAAATATAAAAGTAATAAACCTGTTCTTTTCTGGGATACTTTTAATGCTGTATATACACTGTATATAACGGGACCCCTGCACTCCCCCTCATTCTAATTCCCTTATATATTTGTTTAATATTTCAAGTGTATTTTAGAAAATCGTTATTCTATAGATGTTAAGTTCACATGAATCATTTAGAGGAATAAGTGTTGTTTTTGCTTCGCCACTTTATCCCTTTTTCATTTTCCTTTCTTACTGCAGTCCAGATCTTGTGCTTTGTTTAATATCAGAATCTTCCTTTTTTCTTAGAAGCCTATGCTCGCTAAGAAAGAAAGAAAGAAAGAAAGAAAGAAAGAAAGAAAGAAAGAAAGAAAGAAAGAAAGAAAGAAAGTACTTATGAAACTGAGGCTTTTGAATCACGTGGGAAAAAAAGCTACAAATAAGATAAAATACATCATACAATCATAAGCACATTGTGTAAGAATTGTTTACCACAACTTGCATATTTACTAACACACTAGATGCATAATTCAGCGCAAAAATGGTCTCCTTGTTTGGAAGGAGTGCAAAACAACAGGGTACAGTGATACCTGTAGCTGTGACAGCAGTGATAATAAACAATTGATAGAACAAGGTTTTCTTCAAAACATCAAAAGTACCATCAGCCACCCAGTATTTTGCCGACTTAAGAACGTTATGTTGCTCACTGCTGCAAAACATGATGATTCTCTCAGAGTTCTCATCTCCAAGATGCTCATTGAATGCTAGAAATCTGTCTCCACGGATTGTTGTCTCAAGATGTTGAGGTACAGACATATCATTCCAGCTTTTGGGGACCTTGGTAAACCCAAAATGTTCTACTCTTGCTCTCTTGACTGCCTGTATTTGACTTCCTCATGGCACTCACCCCTTCGTTGGTAAGTGTGCTTACCATGTTGGTCATGTTTCCAAGAACAGTTCGTGGACTTATTGCTATATTTCCAGAGCTTTCTTTAACTTCTTGTTTTTCTATTTCACGTACTCTTTTCTTCAAAAGATCACTGTCATGTGAATGCTCTCCCAGGAAACTGATAATCTTATCATTCTCATTGTTTACAACTGCTCCTGCAGGACAAGAATTGTTTTTCCTTTGAATGGATTGGTAATAGGTTTTGTTGGGTTTCTTCTTTGTAACCCTGTATTCAAACTGATTTGAATCAAGCAGGTGCCGTCCCCCCTGCTTCACCTCAATATAGTTAGCAGTCTCTTATTTCATGTATCTAGACTTAGTGAGATTGTGAATTTTTAACAAAAAAAATTGGGAATTTTTTTGAGATAAAATTGCGAATTTACAAGAATTTCAATCTGAAAATTCAAATATATTTTTTCCTCCTTGGTCCGACGTTTTTCCTTATAAATGTACCCGTCCGACGTTTGTACTGGTCTGACGTTTGTACCAGTCCGACGTTTGTACTAGTCCGACGTTTGTACTGGTCCGACGTTTGTACCAGTCCGACGTTTGTACTAGTCCGACGTTTGTACTGGTACGACGTTTGTACTGGTCCGACGTTTGTACTGTCCGACGTGTGTAAGTCTTATGTTTGTACCGTCCGACGTTTGTGGGTCCGACGTTTGTACTGGTACCCAATTTTCAAACCAAGTGAAAGTGTAACGTAAGGTCTCTGAAAATATTTACCTTGCATGAAAGTGGAACGTTAAAAAATTGTGGTTATATTACATAAGCTTTAACGCAACGTTGGGAAAGATTTTGAAAACGTGAAATGCAAAAGCATAACGGAGCTTACTGTTTTTCACTAACATTTACTAAAGCTTAACGTTGTATAAGGTATTCAAGTGCAGAAAATTCATTATGTAATGTTAGTCTATGTGCAACGTAACGTTTCAAACGTTTATACTTTTGATGAACACTATTTTAACGAAAGTTAAAATCTAGAGAAATCAAAACGTTGACATCTCTAGTACCCTCTTTTCATAGATAGAACATATTATCAGCAGGAAAATATATACACTTCTGATAAAGTGTGTTTATTTAAACACTGCTTAAGCGTTTTAGCCTACCGTTAACATCAAATAGATTGACAACCTATTTGGTTAACATTAATGAAATGAAGATAGAAATTTTAAAACAATTGAAATATAAAATGATTTTTATTCTTCATTTTGTCTTTTGGAAAGAGACTGATTATTTATTCAAATATTTTAATTTAATCTAAATAAACTGTTTACTGCACTCTATAAATGATGGTTACATACATGTTCTATGCGTATCTTTTAGGATGATAAGCACTCCCTTTTATTTTACCTTTCTGAACCAGTCAGCTTTTTAGCAAAAAGTCCTAGATCCATTTTTTACAGAATTGAATCTGCATCCAATTGGACAACTTTACCCGTAATCCTTTCAAATCTTTGCCCAATCCTTGTGGACCAATTTCAAGAAATATTGATTAGTTCTAAGAATTTTTGAAAATTTAAATTTATTTTAGGATTGTATTTTTTCCACATCTCATGATAATCTCTCTACTATGTACACCAGATGTACAGTGTGCAGTGTACGAACACACAGTGAACTGCACTGAAATTGCTCCATGAAACATCGGACAGAAGCAAAAATTACATTCTTTTGGGAGCGCCTTTGATTGTGTATGAAAATTACAGCTGATAAAAGATTTTATGTCTTCTTTTTACTCACCCTGTAATTGTAATTCTTAACAAGCAACTGAGTACTTGCCTAAACCTACATTTTTCGCCGACAAACATGGTATTGTGATCAATGTGAATATAGGTTTAACTAGAAATTCGGCAAATTGTTTATTCATAATGCGGGAAATGAAAATTTTTACTTTCAGTGATTTATCTTGCAAGTTATGAAAATGAACTTTGTTCTAATAAGAAGATTAGACATTATAGAAGTTTATAATACGTACAATTTATGTCGGAAGACCTTAAAGTTTCTTTATTGTTTGGTTAAGGTTTAAGGACAGTAAAAAACAATAAAACTTAAGTATGCATACTGATAACGGTTATAAACTTTGTTCTAAAAAGCGGATTAGACTCAAGTTTATACGTACAATTTATGTCGGTATAGCTTAAAGTTTCTTGTGTGTTTGTTTAAGGTTTAAGAACAGTAAAAACAATATACAGTATACATACTGATAACGTTTATAAACTTAAGATGTTTTATAAAGTAAAGAAGTCCTGGATCCATTTTTTTCAGAATTGAATCTGCATCCAATTGGACAACTTTACCCGTTCTCTTTTTCAAATCTTTGCCCGATCCTTGTGGATAAATTTCAAGAAATATTGAAATTTTTGAAAATTTGCATTTATTTCAGGATTGTGTTTCTTCCGCATCTCATGATGATCTCTCTACTATGTACACCAGATGTACAGTGTGCAGTGTACGAACATACAGTGTACTGCACTGACATTGCTCCATGAAACATTAGACAGATGCAAAAATTACATTCTCTTGGGAGTGCCTTTGATCATGTATGAAAATTACAGCTGATAACAGATTTCATGTCTTCTTTTTACTCACCCTGTAATTGTAATTCTTAACAAGTAATTGATTACTTGCCTAAACCTACATTTTGCAACCTGATTCATAAAGGCACACTGCAAATTAAGATGTGCACAATCTCACACAAAAGTCGAGCAGTATTTTGCCAATTACTCATTTTAAACTAAAGAAACAGACGAGTATAAAAATTAGATGACTAAGTTTCAGTGTTGTCTTTATTTCAATTATATTTATTTCAACTATTTATTCGACTAGAAGTTGTCAACATTTGAAATATCAAAGTTTAACACCACACAAAATTTCAGACATTTATAAAAACTATGAATTTTCAAATTTTTAATTTCTGTTTTATTATTTTTATCCCCCAATTTGAAGAATTTGTAACTAAAATAATCAAATACTCGAGACAATTTTTTTTAGTATAACAAAATTTCCTATGACTAATAAAATTTTAAATATAATCTTGTTTACTTTCAATTGTTTTATACAGAGCTGGGCTCATAAAACTGTGGAATAGAAAGACGACATTTGAACAATATCGAGTGTATTAATCACATGTTTTTAAACAAGCAAATAGTTTTACCAGTGGTTTCAAAATCTGTGTGAGGTGCAGAATTAAGCTGTATTTCAAATTTATTGGACTATTCAAAATCATAACTTGTGTCGTAAAGTCGTTTTCCTATTCCACAGTTTTATGTGTATCAATGTACAATTCAAAACTGTTGATATTTGAAATTTTTTTTTAATGTTACACAATTGTCTGGTGTACCCATAGGGCAGTTCCTGACAGGTTAATATAGTGTTCTGTCAGCATACTGTACTCAATTCTCGAGTCATGTGATAGATCATGGTCGGCTGTACACTGTACAGTCCCAAATGGTACCTTTTTAGTAATGACAAAAAAATAGAAACATAAGATAGATGAGATAAATTTGTAAAAACTCGTTTTTATTACGATAAATGAAACCCATAAAACTGTGGAATAGAAAGACTACTTTTAGACACAATTCATAATTTTTAATTGTCCAATGTACATGAAACACAGCAATTGTTCAAGAAACTAGTAAAACTATTTGCTTTAAAACAAAATCGAATACACATAATATTATGTTAATGTCGTCTTCCTATTCTACAGTTTGAAGGGTTTCTCTGTATGTTATAGATTTGGTGAAACTATCTTTAATCTCTGTGAGAAATAATTAGGTATACAGGGTAAACCACAAAGATGAAAGAAGAATTATTTACTAAAATTAAAGACAATATATAACATGGGTGATGAAGTTTAATTCGCAGAGCTTCAGATATTATGAGTGTCATGTCATCATTAAACAATTCTCAGTAAGAGAATACAATTTAAATCATTTCAGTCTTTTATTCCAAAATATAAACATTTAAACAATAAAAAACAGATTTTTTTATTCTTTTTAACATCGGAGGTCAAAATATGAAATCAATGAAAATAAGTCATGAGATGTCAAATCATAGGTCTCGTAGGTCT